AAAAAATAACCAAATTCAATTGAATTCGCCATCTAGGAATACGCTCGCCACCGCATCTCTGATCACCCTGGTAGTTTCACAGGTTTCAATCTCTACTCCCAACGAGGGTTGGCTGTACATATAGTATAGACAACGAAATGGATCTTCAGTTATATTCCACTGATTTCAAAAGATCCGGAACATCGCGCAATGTGGATATCATCTATCGCCTATCGGCAGAACTACTTGGTGTCAAGTCCAGAAGCCATCTTACTAGTGTTTCACTGTTTGCGGACAGCACTTCGTTGATGATGAGTGATAATGTGGTGATAGTGTGCCGTTATCAATTTCTTTAAATATTCACAAGCTCCCTCATTTCAATGGAAAGCAGATGACAAACTACTGTTATTAGTAGGCATTGGCGTGGGCCTACTTGCGGTTGCAGACTTGACTTGTGTAAGACAGTAAGGAATTAATAATCAATTGCTATAAGGTATTGTTTCCCTAATTAGCAGGTAATCTATTAGTAAGTGTGAAAGGTTGAATAGATAACTAAAGTTTAACGCCAGTGCTCATGCAAAAAATAACCAGAATTCAATTGAATTCGCCATCTAGGAATACGCTTGCCACCACATCCCTGATCACCCTGGTCGTTTCACAGGTTTCAATCTCTACTCCCAATGAGGGTGTTTCACATGACCGCTGATCGGTTATGACCATTCCCCACCATCCAAGTCCATGCTTCTGAAAACAAATAACTGCCCCCCTCCAAAATGCTTTTTATTGTGATTGGTAAAAAAGATATGCTACCCGGAATCAAATTTCACACTCCTTGATCGTTAGATTTTAAGAAAACTCTTATCTGTATCCATTATCTTACAGATATGGGTGCGACCATGGAATAGATGGATGGCAAAGTATAAGTTGCAAAAAGACCACAGTGGCACAAGACCTCAGCTTGCGTGACTTGATAATACATCCTCAGTATCCATTTATTGATGCTTATCGTAATGACAAAGTAACTTGTGATTACTGTGGATTGGTGGAGATAATGTGTCCATTGTGCTTTAACGAAAGCAACATCAAGACGACCCTATCAAGAAAAAAAAATTGTTTCGGTGGGTCTGGTAGTGAAGGTTTCAGTCTAACGTTGGACACCGATACTACAGCCAGATACAGTTGCCAATGAAACTTAGCGAGGCGTAATATTGCGACTTTGTGATCTGAAAGGAAATTTTGATGTGTAGCCGGCTGGCCGCAACATTTTGTTTAAAGAATATTATGAGATATGACTTAAGAGTCTAAACTTTCATTCGAGAGGGGTGTAACCCAAGCCAATTTGCAAATGGTATTCATGGTACCAAATGTATCACACACTTTACAGTAATTATAAATTATATTTGAAAAATAAAGCACATTAGAAATGTATTTTTAAAAAACAATTGGTTTTATCTGCAGATACTAGGTTGATATTGAGCTAACTTTTCTTTAGTCAAAAGGCACACTTGATTCGCAAAGATTTGTGAATGCGCACAGTACACCAATTTGTCTAATGTTTTGATTCAATAGGCAGGAGGTTGTGAATCGGTGCTGCTCAGGATGGGATATTTTTGCCTCTAAATGCATATTACGTGTTTCACATGAATCCATCGTGCTCAAATTCGACTGTTTTCAAGGTCTGAAGGCTCCAACAGCCTTGTTTTATGGGTACACAAGAGAATTTTCAGTGTGGCATGCGTGGGTCAGTTGGAGTCACTAACCTCAAGATATCTATAAGCAAGGATAAGATAACCTGGAAGTATCATTTCATAATTTAGAGCAAAAAATGTATCTGCCTCCACAGCCCTTTCAAATGGAAGATATGATGCCTCGGGGGTAATTTTTATCAAATATTTTACAGTATTATGGTTCTAGTGAAAAGGGGTGTAGGCGGCTTTTTTAAAGTGTGGTAGGTCTAGTCGAAAGACACATTAAATGTTTATGCTAACAACTGTAAACTAATATTGCAACGCATACAAGTTAACAGAATTTGTTGAAATGGTCCTGCCTTTTGCCTTTCTTTAAAATCCCCCTTTTTCTAACTATTCTCTTCCTCTCTGGGGATAGCGAAAATTCAAATATCGATGGGACATATGGGCAGCTGATAATGGGTTATCTTCCCTTTTTCCTGAAAATAAATTAAACACTAATCATCATTTGACAGTGCCAACTTTGTGTATCAGATCAGTAATAAATTACCTGCTAACTAACAAAACAATCAGACAACACCTTCTGACCATTAATGAAGATTTCTTTTAATTTAAAGCGCAACTATGCATACCAATGTGGGTAGTTATTAGGATGGAATTTATCTGTGGTTGGGGACAGATTGCAAGGTGCAACATCGTACGATTACCATTCTATGTCGGGATTAGTTAACCAGTTATTTGTTTTAGAAGCATGGACTTGATGGTGGGGGATGTCGTAATCGACCAGCGGTCGTGTGAACCACCCTCAGTGGAAGGAGAGCTGCAATCCCCTTGCACATAACTATCCCCGCATGGGATTTGAACCTGTGAAACTCCCAGAGGGATCAGAAATGCGGTGGCGAGCGTATTCTTAGATGGAGAATTCAATTGAATTCTGGTTATTTTTTGCATTACCACTGGCGTTAAACTTTAGTTATCTATTCAACTTTTCACACTTACTAATAGATTACCTGCTAACTAGGGAAAAATACCTTTTGGCAATTATTGATTAATACCTTACACGAGTCAAATTGCACGTAGGCCTACTAATAACAGTAGTTTGTCATCTGCTTTCCATTGAAATGAGGAAGCTTATGAATATTTAAAAAAATTAATAACGGCACATTATGACTCACCATCAACGAAGTGCTGTCCGCAAACAGTGAAACACAAGTGAGATGGCTTCTGGACTTGACACCAAGCAGTCCTGCCAATAGATGATATCCACATTGCGCGACGTTCCGGATCTTTTGAAAACAGTGGAATATACCTGAAGATCCATTTCGTTGTCTATACTATACGTACAGCCAGCGGAACAATACGAAATAACCATTTTCAACAGCCAAACAAAACGGAAACGTATAATCCGACTTTCAACTGACAGGAGCCGAATGGACGTTTTCATTTAATTGCCGTCTAGTAAACTAGGTCACGTGACTCGTGCAAGTTGTGCAAATTGAGGTGTATATAACTAGAGTGCGCATTGGCGGCTCTAGACGTTCGCGATTTTGTATAGCTATGATTACATATTTACGCTCTGATACATCTGCAAAATTTAGTTTTAGGTTCATAGGTCAGAATTTTTTGTTTTGTTTACAACTGATGGTGCAATCATTCTTCTACACGGGCCGTTTATTATATATCAATGCAGTAGGTACAGGCGTGCGGTGTCTGTCTATTCGTTTTTTTATTCAGTCATTATCAAAAAAGGCTCAGTTACGAGCTTATTGATTTTTTGAGGCTTCCAGTAAAAGGAACCGTAAGTCTGTAAGTAGTCAACATGACCTGTGCCGTACCGGTAATTGCTGAATTGCCGTGTTCTAAATACAGAAATAGGCTATACGGTACCGATACCGGTCTGGAATAGACTGATAGACGAATAGGTACCGGTACCGGTCCATCTTTCCCGATGTATGGAAATTATCGTTTGATCATAGAATAAACACTTGCCACTCGCTCCACCGCTCTTGGATGTACGGTACCGTACCTACTACGGTACCGGTATATCTTAGAAAATTCGCTCAGAAACAGAGTGGAAGTGGTGACTCCTCTACGGCCCATGGGCCGGGGCCACGGCCCATCAGGCTATGGGCCGCGGCCCATCAAGTTGTGTGAAGGGATAAAATAATGAGGACTAATAAATTTGTAAATCCTACCCACTCCCCGAACTCATAATAGAACTATAATGTGAAAAATATGAACAAAATTTTGTCCTAACCCTAACCTGGTACACATACTTTCAGACTTTAGGTGTATCAATTTCTGTAGCTTGGTATTTTGCTTTATTTTTATGTATAGGCTTATTGTAAGAAAAAGGTTTGGTGGCATCACACGATTTTTTTTTGGTTCTAATATTGACAATTTTGTAAAAATTGAAAATTTTGGTAAGATAGATGAATTTTTCTGATGGGCCGCGACCCATAGCTTGATGGGCCACGGCCCATGTGGCCCAATTAGATGGGCCGTGGCCTTGGCCCATGGGCCGTAGAGGAGTCACCACCCCTGTAGCAGAAACAGTCGGTGCGACACAGTTCTGCAACTTAATTTTTGCAATATTCAGATATTATTCTGTTATTTGTTGTAAACCGACTAAACATAAAATGAAAAGATATAAAAAATCAGAGAACTCAATCTCCTGATCTCTGCTTAATGTTTTTTAGCTTATTTTATTTCAAGTTCAAATTAGTATACTGTGTCATCGGAAAGCCAGATCTGTCTATTGGCATTGCTGTAATGAGAATAAACACTTACAATACCAGAATAGACTACTGCAATATCCTGATATCTGAATATACAGATATAGGCTACAGTACCTGTAGACTATACAATATCGGTAACCGGATTAGAGGTCATTGAATGCCATATGACAGTACAGCAGTATGATTAGGCCGTCTTAACGACTTTCCTCTTCCCCAGGCTAAATATGAAAATCGTAAATGCGCACATCTTATGTAATTCATCATTGAATTTCCAAAGAAACTTAATATATGACATTCGCCTCAGATTCCATACATATCCCATTCATATTGATCTGTGTATAATAATTGAATATTTGAGGTGTTATTTGATTTTTTCGAGCTTGCTTTCGAATCCATGCCAAGACTGAAAAATACTGCTGCTCGTTTTCAGTGATTGAGCAAATAATAGTTATAAAGCTATAGCTTGTGCTTTTGAGGTGAACACTAGTACGGTATCCACCATCTGGTTTGCCCACTTTCTAATCTAACAATGAAAATGGTGATAAATAAGCTGTTTTCACTGATATATCTTTGTGTATGTATAATTCTGCCGGATAAAGTTTTTATATAATCTAATGATAAGTACAGTTTACAGGACTACATTTGTGTAAGCAGCAGGTAGACTATATGAAACAATGATTGTTCGGGTTCTTCCATTAGTATCTAATATCAGTGCCAGACACTTTTGTGGTGTGAAAAATGTTGTATCATCAAAATCAAGCCTATCTGCTATGCGATGTGTTCTTCAAGATACAGGTTCATCTACAAAGTTTGTCACAAGAACATTTACCACAGCACAGAAGTTGGGAGCGAGGGGCGGAAGAGCTTCATTTGTATCTCAGAAGGTTTCTGTTGGGGGAACTACTGCCATTACTGTGGGGCAGCTTGGACTAGCTGGAGCATCTGCATTAGGAATCGGAGCTCTATGTTACTATGGCCTGGGTTTAGGAAATGAAGCAGGCATTATTGATAAGGCAGCAATGTGGCCAAAATATGTTCGGGATAGAGTTAAAGATACATATTTATACTTTGGGGCGTCACTTGGAGCTACTGCTGCAACAGCTTTAGCCATAGCTAAAAATCCTACAGCTATGAGAATTGTTTCAAGTAATGGAATCATGGCAATGGTACTATCCATTGGTGCAATGATCGGTACATCAGTAATATGTCGAAGCATTGCATATGAGCCAGGGTTTGGTTCAAAACAGCTTGCATGGCTATTGCACACTGCGGTAGTGGGTGCTGTCATTGCACCAATCACTATTCTTGGTGGCCCACTCCTGATAAGGGCTGCTTGGTACACTGCTGGAGTTGTTGGTGGTTTGTCCACAGTGGCAATGTGTGCACCTAGTGAAAAATTTCTTACAATGGGTGGTCCTTTAGCTGCAGGACTTGGTGTCGTATTTGTTGCTAGCTTGGGATCTGCATTTTTTCCACCCACAGGAGCACTGGGAATGAGTTTGTACTCCATATCTGTTTATGGTGGCTTGGTATTGTTTGGAGCATTCTTACTGTATGACACACAAAAAATTGTCAAAGCAGCAGAATCCCATCCAAATTATGCAGCCAGACCTTTTGATCCTGTGAACGCATCAATGAGTATATATATGGATGCCATAAACATTTTTATTCGAATTGCAATGATGTTAGCAGGTGGTAACAGAAAGAAATAAACAGATGTAATATTTTGTACATTATTATATACTACATCAAACTTTGCGCATTTTGACGTTTATATCTAGAGTTAAGCTGAATGTTTCTGGACATCAATAAAAAATGATAATGATCTTAATTTAAAACATTAGTTGTCTGTGTTCAACAAATATAATATATCAACGAAAATTTACTAGAATTTAATTCTTTAACCGAGATATGATATGGTTACATTTGGTGTGCTTTTCAACATTGATACTAAGGTTATCACCAGCTTATCTGTATCGGACAGAGCCTTGGCTGTTTTATATTGAAAATGATAATTTATTCCAAACTCTCCTTAAGTCGTGGTTCCTAACTAGGGGACCACATTAGACTAGGGCACAAATCAAGTTTAATGCATTTTTGTCTGCATAGGCTACTTTTCACTTAAAACGAAATTCCCTGTTCTCCGTAGTTTCATTACCTTGAAATATTATTTCAAGTCACAGTGTATTTGGATCTTATGCATGGATTGCATGATCGACGGATTCAGAATAACAATATAAATACCTCTGTGCTCTGTGAATTCTAAACTTTGTAAATGTTTGTGTATTAAATGTGGACATTTTGGCCTTCGGTTTGTTTTTATTATATACCATGAACAGTGGTAAAAAGTACATTTGAGTTTTTTGGAATGCTGAACACGCGTCAGGATGGGGTCCAATAAGCGGGAACCACTGCCTTCTGGAATAAAAGTGACAAGGCAGGACGCAAATACTATAAACATGCCAATACTTCATTCAAATCAGGTTCAAAACACGAGACTTAAGAATACTCTATATTGCATGACATGACATTCCCGCTGAACGAATTTCGGTCTTAGGGCTGTGGAGATATAATAGCGAATACTGCGACCATAGAATATCGTGTTTAGTTTTTATAAGAATAATATCACCTTTTTTTCACAGGCTCTAAATGAGATATTCATTTTATAATGAATATCGTATTTTTATTCTTAATTTAAGATGGCCCCGCGCAGCGGGGACGATAAACTTCGGAAGAAATGTAGCACATTGCGATCGTACTTAATTTTTTATTGTATTTTCGTTAGTAACCGAGAATAGCGCGGCATTTTTCTTTTCTTGCAATTTACATTGTCCAAAAGTGTGTTTTGGAATGAACTTTCAGCTACGCATTTGGAACCAAATTTATGTTTGTAAATAATTGTGCGCATCGTCAGGAACTTCGATTTTGCCTTAAATTTCAATCATATCACACATGCCGTCCATAACTGATGTAATATAGCAGGGGCGGTCAACACGTCGATCGCCACATCTCGAGTGGTCGATCGCGTCTGATGTTGAGTGCATTTAATAAAATACCCCAAAAAATAGCCGTGGACCAGTTTCATGCAGCACCTGTTGTATTTTTCAAAACAGGTCGAGCAGAGGAATGTGCATGCGCAAAATACGACATACACAACACATACGGTATTTGAGTCTGCATGGGCAAGCCCGATAGAGCATATTATTACGTAACTAATGCAAGTTTCGCCGCTGCCAAGGTTTAGAAATGAACGTGCCGAATAACGTGTGTCTTGACTGAGAAACGATCCTACAATAACTTCTGCAATATGCGAAAGTAATTGTCTCCAAGCAGTGGCGAAGCAAGACTCTCGTGGGCCCCCCCCCGCAAAATATTTCGTGGAAATGACCCTAAAAATTCTCGGACATAAGCTGAAACAACGCTTTTTTTATTTCGTCAAAAAGCATAACATGTCGCTTTTAAAAGGCAATGGTAACCTAAAATTTGCCGTTTATTTTGGTTACTTTAATTTTTTTCATACGTGCTTCTCTTCTGCCCTTTTTCTGCGTTTCTGTGCGCCACTGAGAGGTTTTGCTTTCGACATCATTCTGACAGCCTTCGTAATTTTGCCGGTGCTATCAAACCAGAGAATGGCTCTGATCAAACCACTAGACGCCGATAATCGATGACTCCCTGGCATTGCTACGTAACAAAACGATATGAGCAGAACTAACATCAACTTTAATAAGATGTGCGTTACTGGTTTTGCAATCCAACTTTTGGTTTTGCGGCTTAAATTTCTAAATTCCAACCGCTTGGCCCCCTTTGCGCTGTGGGCCCTCCCGCGACCACGGGGGCTGCGGGGGTGGATGCTACGCCACTGTCTCCAAGTCCATGCTTCCGAAAACAAACAATATTCTAATTGCTGGTCCACCCATGTGGACCCTGTTATTTTCCTAATTTTTTACTCATTTTTACTTGAACATCTTTGGACTGCTTGTGGGCTGGTTCATAGATTTGTATTTCCACACAAGCATCTTTAACGTCTTTTTATTAGCTTGAGGGGGCTGCCGGTTGTTGATTTGTATTTCTTTCAAGCATCTTTAACATCTTTTTATTATTTTACTTGAACTGCTTCGGGCTTGTTTTCACAGACTGTGTGTGATTAATTTCTCTTTTTCTCATTTTTATATACTTCAATATTACTTGAACTGCCTACGTACAAGGGCCGCTGATTTCTACTTATACATTCCACTTTTCTCCTTACTAATTTTTTTTACTTTCTGCCTCGCTGATTTCACTTTATTTTATTTCACGACATGGCTTTTTCCTTGACAAATTGCTGGCATCGATGGCCTGCTTACATTTCCAGCTTGCGTCAGGTGTCTGCCTGCCTTTGATGTATTTCCTCCTTGACCATCTGGCCTGATGCTGGCATCGATGGCCTACACCTACACTGTCTTCTTCCTGCTGCTGGCTCCTCCGTCTGTCTGCTTACCGTACTGTTGCTCTCGCTCGACTTTTAGTTAGCTCGTCACTTCCACTCTTCTAATTACATTCAATTCTGCTCCAGTTCTCGCTGATTTCCACTTCATTTTATTTTCACCCAGCTTTCTTGCCCTTGACTCACTCTAATTTTTTCGATTCTATATGTGCCAGACTGTGCAAATTTGGTGATGGAATATTTACCCACATCACGCAACAAAGAATTTTCAACAAACTTTGACTAATAACCACAGCAAATGAACACAAATACTCAGAACCAACAATTGGGGGCACATAAAGCATTGGAGGATTATATTTTGTGAATTGCTCTCACATACTGAAACTAAAACAGATTTGCATTGACAGGAATAAACATAATTTGAAATTAAAACAAAGCAAGTTGTTAGCATTCACCAACACAATAAAGAAACAATTCCAATATAACTGCTACCACATGGAAAGTTGCTTTGAAATTTCGCGAAGCGAAGTCAACAAGCATAAATAGACTCATAAGGGGTGCAATTGGTTGATCCATATCAAAACAGAAGAGATTCCGGTTCCTTCAAATAGTTTCGTGTGTCTGGTTGAGCTTTTGTTCTGGACCTTGATTGGAAAAATTGAGTGAAACTCTTTATAAAAAGGAGTTCAAAATATATTCATATTTTAGCTCTATAGAATGTGTTATTATCAGATCCTACTTCTCGAATATTTATCCGACACGAACGGCACGGGGATAAACTATATGAAATGAGTCATTGAATACGTTGATACTGGATGTTCCCTTGTTCAAGACCTTGATTGGAGAAATTGGGTGAAACGCTTCATGAAAGGGGTTCAAAATATATTCATAATTTCTCGGGACTTTCAATGGTCGACAATCCGGGTATGTTGAACGGGAAGAAATTTACATAAATAAATAATTGTATAAATCACTATTCTGTTAATTACTTGAAAATATTTGTATTCGATTGTTATTCAAATCGAATAAATTTACTTCACAGTTTTGCGTGTGTATAATTTTAACCTGGTGTTACAGAAGTATTGTCTATTGTCGACCATAAAGTAAGTGGTGAAGTACATGGACAAGGATTAAGCTTGAATACTTACTTGGAAGACATCCAAATACCGGTTTATTACAATCTTCTCTCTCACAGCAACATTTGCAGATGGTTCCCGGAATTTTAGGATTGCATTGGTATGTATGATTTCCTTTAGCATTCTGATATAATGAATTTCTTAGTACTACTCCTTTCTGCAGGAGAAAAATCCTAATTTGATTGTATGATGGATATTTAAAAGAACATATAAATTCAAATAAATATACTGAACAGAAAACCCTGATGCTAAAGAAAAAAATTGAGACAAAACACTCTGGTAGCCCGTTTTCTTAAACATATTGAAAAGAGTAAGAGCAAGAAATATATCACAAAAGGCCGACCATAGGAGGCGAGAGTGAAGTGAAAAATAGTTATGTGCGTCAATGAAAGGATTGGACCTCTAGTCGTAAAATATTCATTAAATGCATAATGTAAAGAATTTATAAAAATTAAGGACTAATTATGAACTAGGTATTGATGCGCTGAGAGAAGCAATGTATATTTTATTTATTACCTAGAACATTTTGCTGAAGGAAATTTTGATTCAATGCCATAGAAAACATCTTACCTGAAATTCCTTATTGTCGTAATCAAGGTCTTGTTTGCATCTTTTTGTGATTCTGATTGGTGGAATTAAAGTCATCTTGATTTCGGAGAAGCACCCGCCCTTATAAAAAAACACAGATTGTATAAAGTGAGTACTCTAAACTAACAGGCTTATAATTATCGAAACGAATAATCTATATATGGAAGCAACGACTAAAATTAGAAATAAAATTCTTGTTGAAGCGTCCATAAAACATACTAGCATATAATCGTAATCATTCGTGACGTGCCTTTGTATCAAAGCATATATTAAAGTTGTGGTAGTGACTGAAACTCATCGATATTCAGATCAAATTTCATCACAAAAAGATAATTCAAACAGTTTTGTTGCATTGTACAACTAACTAACTCAAAGCAATTATTTTGGCAACTCTGGCACAAGATTGCATTAAAAGGGATATTTTATGAAGAATAAAATAAACATCTTGAAGTGGTAAGTCACAAATTAATTTGTCAAAATGATGTGAACTGAATATTCCTGTTTACCTGTTTACTGACGTTAAACGCAAATTTATCGCTAAGGCTTTTGGGATTAATTCAGCATTTGGGCGTTTTAATTATATTGCACAAGGTCCATCGTGAAACTAGTAAAATTTGTCTGATAGATTCGAATGGAACTGAATGATATACCTCTTTGCAACACTCGTGCGTTTAGGCCGAAACGCTGATGTCATATCCAATATATTTATTCAGAACTCCATATGTTATTATGTAGATATTTTGAATAAAACTGCGTCATATACGAATCAATGTAGAGAAGGGTCCGTCAACTGTGGACCGTTTGTCATATGCGACCCGTAAACAATTTTTTTTCGAACGTTCCTTTCGAAAGTGTTCATAACGGGAATTTTATTTAAGCATTGTTTAAAATCTATTGAAGTGATATATTCAACAAACTTGTCGGCTGAATTTAAAGCTTTGGCCATCAAGCCCACTATGAATCAACACCATCCTTCACATAGATGAAAAGTAAATCAGAACATATTTTTTCTGTTGATTCTCAGCATAAACATACTTAATTGAAAAGAAAGTTTGTATTATAAAAGAAACCTGATATCAACGACGTATCTGTTATGTTATATAGGTTACCTTATTTCTTAATATGATTTACGCCAACAACAACCAAATAATTTGCGTCAAAAACTGTGATAAATTGTTTTTTTTATCATATCTATTCAAAATAG